GTACCTACATCGCAATCACCAAATCTGAAATCTCAATTTATCCAATTTAGCATGTATCAGCGACGATTCAATCTCTAGAAACTATAAAGTCAAATTTTAAACAAAAATTCACTTAGAAAGATCGTGTTTTAGAAATAAAACAATATTTATATATTCTTTAATACAATTTAGAAATTATATTATTTAAATGCTAAACAAATAAAAACAGTGGCGTGGTGAACTAAAAATATTCCAGAGGCAACCCCCCCATATAGATGATCCACCCCACATGTATTTGCATGTATATAAGTACAATCCTTGTCCCTTGATACCCACCTCCCAATATTTGAAAAATCCCAGAGGCAATTGCCTTTGAAATTACTCTTTGCCACGCCACTGAATAAAAATAATTAACGATAGAAAATAAATTTGAAAAATAGTTGGTTGAACTATTTTTCCACGTTGTAACGATATAAAAAAAAAAATAACCAGTCAAAGATAAATTAAAAGCATACCTTGTCTAATAATTAAACTCTAACTAACTAATTAACTCTAACACTAACGACTTTTCAAAAACTCAATGTTATAATATTTATACTTTTAAATCTCGATTTTTCCTGACATTTTTCGTGTTTGTTTATGTTTCGTTCTACATCGATGTTTTGGGGTACACAGGCCGCAAGAAGAAAAAGGACAAGGGCGGTCAGGTGTACCTGATGATGCTCAAGGGAGGTCTGCTGGCCTTAGCGTACAAGGGTCTGGCACTGTTGGCCGGCAAAGCGCTGTTGGTGAGCAAAATCGCGCTCACGCTGGCCATTTTRGTGGCATTCAAGAAGCTGTTCAGCGGTGGCGGCCACGGTGGCTCGTCCAAGACCACGTACGAGATCGTCAAGCAGCCGGTGATGACGCACTCGCATCAGTACGCCGCGCCCGGTGCCGCTGACACGTTCGGCAGCTACGACAACAGCGGGCCGTACGCCCGGAGCATTGCCCAGCCGGACGTCGTGCCGTACCCGCAACTGGCCGCGTACAGGGCCCACGTCAGAGGAATCGGCGGTGGAGGCGGTGGAGGCGGTGGAGGCGGCAGTTCCATGGTGATGTCGTCCGCGGCCTCGTCACCGTCCGCCGTGTCCGGAAGCGTGCAACACGATTCGGGTCAGAGAGACGAAGCGCTCTGAAGACCGGACAYCCGGACCACTGCAAGCTCCTTGACCGACCCCATCGCGGGTGACTCTCTACCACAGCCACCCACCTCACACTATCAACTTCATCATGAGACATAATATTAAAATAATATTATGATATTATTTTTTTCGTAACGCAGTCACGGGAACTCA